AAAACTGGGAACAGCTCTTGCCGTTGCTGTTTGCGATAACAATACGCGATAGGAGGAGGGACAAGAACAACAAGAGAGAAGGCAGGGAGGTTAACCAGGCACATGCACGGTATGCTACCCTACGCTAGGGGAATGAGAAGGGGGGCATAGAGATGAGAGAGAGAGGAAAGAGAAGAAAAGAGAAAAAAAAGATTGGTCAGTCAATGGGCTGACGCGTTTGCAGTGGCGGCACTACACAAACGTTAAAGGTGTTCACATAGGCCTGTAGTTCTCAAAAAGCACAAGACGGCTTTGACTGCTTTTTGAGCCGACGAAAGGCGAGAAAGGTGTTCCAGTAGCATCTGCATAGAGAGTGGTCGATCGTCCTATTGTCGCAATGCGTCCGAAAGCTTCTGTCTTTCATAGGCAAATCGAAGGCAACGGCATAACAGATGGTCGATGTCTTTTTCGGTGCAGCAGACGTCGCATTCCGCATTGTCGGTCAATCCAATGAGGGTTGTATATGCTTTTGTGAAGGCAACCCCCAACCAATACGCGACAGAGTTTCTAAAAAACAGGGTGCGCAAGTACGGACACAAGAAGGAAGGCAAGACACTACAAGCTTTATCTGCGTATGGGCGTGCGCAAATAAGTTGACATGCCTTTTTTTCCCGCCGTTCTGCGCATCTTTAGTTGCTAGTAGGCGTTTATGGTGCCTTGACTGCCTTCTTGCGTGCGTGTTTGCACGCCCTGTATTTTAGAATGAATACTTTTGAACTATCTCAGCTCTGTGACCCTGAAGCGATGTAGTTTCTGTTAATTTCCTTCTCTCTGGCGTTATAATATATTTATAATGGTGTGTCTACCTAAAAAAACATTTCTTGTAATGGCATCAAAAACATATTTTTAATAACGCATGAGGAAATATTAGGCATTACATTTATTGAAATAAACGAGGGCTTCAGTCGGATACCTAAATATGTTAGCCGAGGTAAAGGAACGGTTTAAAATGCTGTCAGAACGTGTATGCTTTTTCATCACAACAAACTTAATTCTGTCAAATACCAGTAGCAACCAAATGCTTACGCCTCTTCTGCTATATTATGGCACGGATTTAGCGGCAGAGGAAGTGTAAGCATGTTGACATGACAAATGTGACGACATGGTGACGTCAGATGAGAATGATGTCATGTGACTTTTGCTGTGCCGACTGATACACATTCATTAAATGGAGTAACCTGTAACTTTTAGCGTAAGTTTACCAGCTCTTTGGACTACTCTCGCATTTCCGATGGAGGCGGAAATGTTGTACGCCCGTGTGCTCAGATTTGGGTGCACGTTAAAGAACCCCAGGTGGTCAAAATTTCCGGAGCCCTCCACAAAGGCGTCTCTCATAATCATATGGTGGTTTGGGACGTTAAATCCCACATATCAATCAATCTTTGGACTACTCGTGAAAGCATCGACTATAAATCTTACTTTTTTTAGTCACAACATATGTGAGACTTTCAACTGGAAAAAACCCTCGCAAGCAAGAGTGAGTGAAACAAGGTAGGTGAGAGGTGACAACAAAGCCCATTCATACCTAATCAATAACACGCCACGTTGTGGAACTGAAGCTGAATTGGAGCACAGATCTTCGAAACGGATTTCATCAGGAAGAGCGCGAGTCATTAGGATGCAGATATACCATTGTTCCATCGGGAACTTTCTTTCGAAAGTTCGCAAAGATCACATCCACTTAAAATAAACTTTAGTAGTCAGGCGTTTCGGAATATTAGCTTTCAGTTATAGATTAAAATATTGCGGACACGATATTTAGACGTCGATTGATATGTGTGGTTTAACGTCCCAAAACCACCATATAATTATGAGAGACGCCGCAGTGGAAAACTCCGGAAATTTTGACCACCTGGGGTTCTTTAACGTGCACCCAAATCTGAGCACACGGGCCTACAACATTTCCACACGGGCCTCCTTTGGAAATGCAGCCGCCGCAGCCGGGATTCGATCCCGCGACCTGCGATATATAGACGTCGTAAAAGAACTCATTTCGTTTCCTTGGCATCCAATGTGAACGTCTTTATACACCTGAATCGAACAACATGCATAAAAACATTTTACTTTGATTTTTTTTAAAGTGTTTGCCGCTGAGCGTCAGCAATGCACCACTGCGGTGGTCTAGTGGCTAAGGTACTCGGCTGACCCACTGGTTGCGGGATCAAATCCCGCCTGTGGCAGCTGCATTTTCGGTGGAGGCGAAAATGCCGTAGGCCCGTGTGCTCAGATTTGGGTGCACGTTAAAGAACCGCAGGTGGTCAAAACTTCAGGAGTCCTCCACTACGGCGTCTTTCATGATGGTATAGTGGTTTTGGGACGTTAAACCCTCCATATCGATCAATCAGCGCCAGCAAGTCAGCTTCATACAGATGAACATTATCAACACAGTCCACTGAGTTTGCCTGCATGCAGCCAAAGCAGACAGGAATCACTTTCGGGGTACCTGAATGACAATTCGCTCATTGCTGTTTACGTGCACCACGGGAAGATGACACATCTGCCGCTAGTACGTCGTGAGTTGCTGTTTCTCCGTGACGTTACATCGAAATAAAACGTCACTTAAAAGCCACAGCCTCGATACCGAAAGTGGTTTTTTAAGGTAGCGGTATTAAATATATATTTGCTGCAGTACCAAGCATTGAAATACTCTCTTCAGAATCCTCGACACCCGTGCTTCAGGTGCGGAGCACTTTATGGGGCCGGGTTGTCGTATGTTCAGGTCGTGTACATTCGTCGTCGTTTGGCGTAACGCTCCGCCTGTAGTATATTTAGCATGTGCTCGGGCTAAGAAAAAATATTTCTATTGCTCTTTCAGCCCCTTTATGATGATCACTTATCACTATCACTAGTACGCATGGATAGAGCAGGCGAAAGCATGTATAGAAGCAAAAAGAAATGGAAGCGACTGCGAAATAAAAATAAAAAAATGTAAAAGTAGAAAGAAAAAGGTGCAAAAAAGAGAAATACATAAAAAGAGAGGAAGAAGTAAATTGAAATAAAGAGACAAAAAGCGAAGAAAAAGAAAGCAAGAGAGGAGGAAACAAAACGAAAAGAGAAGCAAAAAAGGCTGCCCAACTCCGCCGTTCTTTCAGGCTTGGCACTCCATAGTGCGAAGCTGCGTCTATTTTTCTTTTTTAGGGTTCTTGAAACCAGTCTTTTTTTTTTTTTCAGCGAACACGGGAAAATCCTTCAAGTTCACGTCACTACTCCTCTAAGCCACTCTTACAGGCTCCGCAGCGCTGCACGGTTTTTCCTATGAAACGAAATGCGGTGGTAACTACATTTCGTTACTTCTTTCTTCCTGGTCTTTTTGTGGTCGCAGATTTGCCCCTTCCACGGTTGGCGTCACATTAAATACGATCGGGAAACGCAGACACAGTGGCGTTGAGGGCATCCTGCTGTGAAATGTGCGCGGTGGAGAGGCACTCGTTACTCTTTTTCTTTTCATTTTCGGAAGCAAGCGAACACGAAAACAAAAAACGAAATACGAACAGTCATGTTGGTCACCTGGCCAGCCAGTATACGAACGCGACGGAAAGAAATCACCGACAGCAGCTCTGTTAGAGGGTCATGAACGTGACGACCGTGAACGTGACAACACGTGCTTGGTGCGGCTGCTTGTATATGGTGGTGAGCTTCCATGAAGAGATTTCTGCATTTTAGTTTCTTCTCTTAAACTCCCGCTTCCTTCTTTGATATTTTCGCAGTAGTTCACATTAAAAAAAGAAACAAGAAAATACTTGACTCGTAATAGCATGCCGCTTGGCTTATAAAGACAGAATGTATTGTGCTACGGTATCAATTTACACACGTGTTGGTAGTGAACTCGGCATAACAACTAAGCGGCTCAACCTTTGCAGCAGGAGTTGTCACACGCACAAGCTCAACGACAAAGGTTATACAATTAAGTGAACTGTCTTCGGCTGTATACTTACTGCATGGATTTGAGTTGAGGCGTCGCTATAGCTCGAATTGGAAACACTGTTTTCCGATTAACTAGTAACTGATATCGGAGTGCTCTTTATAATCGAGTTAGCTTGTGGTAGCTTGTACCATTTTACATTCCAGGGATAATGCAGTAGAAAATAACACTTTCTTCCTAGTCTTTTGCACGGCAAGGATTTGATGCACGACTGTGCGATTTTTAACATCAGTTTTTGTTAATGGAGAATTCATTCGAGGCATATTGTTCTCTTTTGACAACCATGAGAGAGAGAAAGAGGTGTTTACGTGAGCAAATAACTTTACAATTTCGCAATGAATTCTACCACACACTTAATTATTCCATTTATGCTCCTGGTTATTATATGCAGTGATAAGTTTCACCTCATTTAATCTAAAACAGGTACTACACTGGTGCGTTGACTTTATTACGTGCAAAATGTGTAACAACCAATATGAAACCACAACTGTTGCTGTAGTAGTCCCTCCTTATGGTTTTTGCGCCCTTCTCTTCAGCAATTTAACGTTTATGGGTTTTCAGCAACGCTTTTAAAAGGACTCGTAAAAGATACAAGTGAAATGGCTATCAACCTAAATGCTGGTCAAGGCATCGGGAGCCCTAGAGCTGCGCACAAAAGTATTGCCCTGTTTTGTTTTGTTTATTTTTTACCAGTCATCACAATTGTGGCACATTGCTTTCTACAAAAAGTAATATATGTCTCGATATTCATGGAAATAGGTTTGGCCACGTCTCGACATATAGTAGAACCCACATTTCTTTCCTGAAAGCCTTCACAATGCGTACCGTCGGTGCAAGACAGATTGTTTCAGAAAATTTCCTTCTTTCATTTTTAACTGAAGCAGATTGTGTCCTGTGCATGGGTTTTTGCAGAGGACTCAGTGACCACCAGCAACCGCGAATGCTTGGAACACGGAGGAGCTGCTCACAACAGGGATCTCACGTAGCTCAGCGGGCGGCAAGGGTCCGCGCGCTGCGCTGTGCTACGACGTACACTCACCTCCGAATTCTCCAAGCAGCGGCGTCCTGCTCCCAGTTCCAACGCAACCGCCACGGCGCCGCATAAGGCTTCGTGACCGTTTCAGGCTCTCGGAAAACGATGCCCGAAGATGCCAAAATCGCCGTCGCACGCACCTCGCACCGCTGAAGGATCAGGGTGGGCGACGGAAGCGAGCCGTCGTCAGCCGGGTGTGCGGGCCAGCATGCCCGAGGGAGGCGAGCCAGGCTCGGGACGCGGCGCAGCCCGCAGCGCCGTCGGAACGCGCCGAGCGAAGCCAGCTTTCGGGGCGAACGGGACACGACCTGCTTTTTCTCCAGAGTGCTTCGCATCGAAGTCGCACCGCGGCGCGCTGAAACTGACGAAACGTGGCGCTGCCATCGCCGATAGGGGTCGCTTGGTCGCCATAGGAATAGTTCGATGCGAGGTACTCCTCGCTTCTTACCCCCTTGAAATGTTTGCGCATCAACCGCGCTCGCTCGCTTGGCGCGTCAGTTTGATCACAAAAAGTACTTGTGATGTCACGCAACTCGTTTATTGTTTTCTAAATGTGACACCGATGTGATACATTTTAAAGGCTTAGCGTAGTTTGACGTGAACTTTTTTCGGATGTTGATGAAGTTACTATTTAGGTTTACTGCTTCACTAAACTTTTGAATTGTGGCGTGTTTCAGTGTTTTATTTTGGCCTGCGCATACATGATGGCACGCCTTAACAACAAGTGGCAAATTAGTGCTATCTTCAGTACAGACGCGTACTGCGCCTGTTGAACCAAAATAAGGGTTGGAAAATGCCTCCAACTGAAAGCGACGATTGCTTCTAAGCTCGTTGCATCACTTTGTTCAGCGGCAGACTCTTAGAAGCATGGTGTTGCGAGTAGATGTGGAGCTGTGCGGCGGCGTTTGAAAGCAGCTGTAGCGAGTGACACTACACGCAGCCGATCTTATAGAACCATGTTCCACGTTACTGCCAGATTCAGCTCTATATCGTGGTGTGGTTAGACTGTAGAAAAAAAAAAACGTGGAGGACGGCTTCACCTTGAAGAGCAGAACGGGATAGCTTAATCAGGTGCCGTGCGCAGCGCCTTCTGATTTGCTAGCCTGGCTTCGGTACTCGGTGCATGCCTAAACCATGCTGTAAAGAAACGAACGTCTGTGCGGCTGAAATTGGCCGTTTCAAGCTATCCTACATTGCCTATTGCTAGTATTAAGAGCCCACAGTACCATAATTTATCGTTCTGCAAATCAGTGAAGTGCCCACAACACGTCAGTAAGGCAACACGCGAACCTTCCCAGGTGCTCCTTTAGTTTAGGTTTTGCCCTTGATAATGATATATTGTGTCTGAGCTCTTTGTGATGGGCAGTCTTTTTAACACCCACTCATTGTGCTATTCACATGTTTTGGCACCTGGCCCAATTTTACGCGTCTACTATACGCAATATATGATGTATTCAAGGGGCCCTCTAACACATTTCATGACCTTCTGTTTTTCTAGCTGGTTGCGTGCACTGAAGGCTTAAGAGATAAATGCCGCAAGAACGGCCGTGATAGGGTCACGCAGTGCAAAGTTATTCAGCGTAGAGATATCAAACACAATGACCTGAATGCTTACCCTCAGCTCAATTTTCACGGGCTCATCTTACCGTGTTTTCCTAATCCTGTAACGTCCTACCGTACAGGCACCCTAGCACCAGCCATACCGTACAAGTAACTCGCATGACACGTGCGAATTGAGGCAGCTCCCGAACACTTCTATGTTTTATAGCTTTAATGATCTTTATTTTTGTGGTGCGTCTCTACATCAACTCTTTTACAGTTATTCTCTTTATTATTTTCAAACAATGGTGCCCGGAAAGTCAGCGGTGCGTTTCCTGCAGCACCATGGCGTTCGGCGCATTCTTTGACCAGCTTTGCAGTTTTCAAGCAGAAAAAGTCCGAGAGCTTTATTCTCGTCTGCGTTCTGTGAAAAACTATGCTAAAGAAAAACAAATCCAACAGTAATCCCTATTTTGATGCAATGCAGCGATCACGTTTAAGGGTATACATTTATCCAATCATAAGGCACCAACCTTCCGGCGTCATTTCCGCTCGCAATAGTTCTGGCGAGCACCACTACGAGTTATGCAGTCAGCACCGATGTTTTCAAGCGTTAGAGGGCCCCTTTAAGAAGTGTTCTACATGCCCTTTCATGCAGTTTCATGCAACAGCGTGACTACACCTGCTTCTTATTCCGCCGTGGTGATCTAGTGGCTAAAGTACTCGACTGCTGACCCGCTGGGCGCGGGTTCGAATCCCGGCTGCGGCGGCTGCATTTCCGATGGAGGTGGAAATGTTGTAGGCCCGTGTACTCAGATTTGGGTGCACGTTAAAGAACCCCAGGTGGTCGAAATTTCCGGAGCCCTCCACTACGGCGTCTCTCATAATCTTATGATGGTTTTGGGACGTTAAACCCCACATATCAATTACACCTGCTTCTTACACAGAAGGCTACGGAGAAGGCCGCTCACAGCCAACTACGCCGACACCCAGGACTTGTGCGAAAGGAGCTCTTCAACGCTATTGCGTGAATACCTATGAGCGCTTGAGGGAGATTATGCGCACACCGTCTGACGCGTGCTCCGCTATCAACAGAACGGCGCGCAGGCGTGTGTTGCGGCTTGTGTTATGACGTCTTGCTGTGAGCGTATTTTCGCAAATATGTTGCCGAGATCAAAACGATTGCGGATGTATATTTTGTGGTATTGGTGATACGAGAAATACACCTAACAAGTTTTACGCCAAGAGAGCAGCATCAGGTACGAGGTGTAGTCACCGTAATATCTGAAGTGTCATGCGCAGCGTCCTTCACATCGCTCTACTAAGGTCCTATTTTTCACCTTTTTCGACAATGCATCTGTTAAGTCGCTTGCTTGGCGGCACTCAGCGACAATACGTAATTACTAAAGTCAAGGCAAAAGTCAAGTCAAGGCATGGGTTGTCAACGCGAGCGGCATTTTTTCAGGAAGGAGCCGAACAGAACGATTCACTGGAAGGCGTGATGTGGAGCGCCACTCAGTACACAGTTCGAAGGCTTCGATACACATCGTACGTTGGTTTTTACGCTGAAAGAAGGGAAGTATTAAACGTGTAGAGCACGCTGTATTGTAAATACAGCCTGAGCATTAACACATGGTGAGAAAGGAGAAAACAACGCCACTTTTCAATTTTTACCTGCGCTGTGTCTATCAAAAGCAAGCATCATGTCAGCAGTATCTACATACAAGGTTTTTCTTCATCACTTGCTCATACTTCCTTTATTTTTTGGTTATTTAGGTCGACAATGTGTGTTCTTCAAAAATGTGAAACTTACTTGGATACTCAAGGCACACGCAGAAGAGCTTCATTTCTTACTTGGATCGTTTGATAACACTACAACATTAGTGCGCAGGCATATTTGTGGGCATGTTATTGTTCTTTGCTTCTCAGAAATTTATTATATTATGAATATGGAGGCACTAAAAGTACGGAGTTAAGATTTCTAAATCGAACGTATGCTCGTGCTCAAAACTACATCATCCCGAATTCTCTTTATCAACTTATGTGCTCTTGACCAAACAATTCAGTAAGTTACACGGAGAAGTGAAAGTGGTTTACTTTTTGCAAATTAGTCAGCAATTTTTTTTAAAAAATCACGTACTTAAAACGCAACCTAATGCGTTCAAATCTCGGCTAGCCGAAGGCATCTTTGTAGAGCTTATGGTGATCAATCGATAGCATAACTTGTTTCAAGGGATCTTAATTGACTGAGAGATACCATGCCGTCCTCCCGCGTTAGAGATCCCTGGGTACACCTATGACTGAGATATATCCTAGGCATTGATTGATTGATATGTGGGGTTTAACGTCCCAAAACCACTGATGATTATGAGAGACGCCGTAGTGGAGGGCTCCGGAAATTTCGACCACCTGGGGGTTCTTTAACGTGCACCCAAATCAGTATAACCTAGGCATTGTCATAGGATGCACAAGTGGGCCCGTTGGTATGGCAGCTTTAGTACAAAATATAAAGCGCCAGAAATTTGAGGCAAAAGTGTGTCACTCACCATGAGTAATCATGATCTTTCTTGTACTCGTTACACATTGTGGTCATCCCACTGCCATCAAGACAGTTATGTTTTAATGACACGGTTATGCCCCTTATGACCATGTAGTTGTGGTTACGGCAGCGTTATTGTGACAACATTTATCATCAATAATATAACTAATCGCAATCATAACAACATTACATTGCATCAATAATTCCTTGGGTTTTATATGCAAAAACTATGATGTTGTTATGAAGCACGACTTAGGATTGGGCTCCAAAAATTTAAAACAACTGCTGTTCTTTCAAGCTCTATGAACTGGTGATATGATGATATGTCTTGCCACACATTTTTGTTAATAATTTCTTGTATTTATACCTTCGTGAAACTGTAGCAAGGTACCTGCTGAAGGGCTTAAAAGAAACATTACTTCTTGATGCGCTGTGCAAGACCTGACTCGGTTATTTTGCGCCGCCTTGGATCCTTTAAATGAATGACGCCACACTCAATTCTTCAACAGACCGTTAGGTGGCGCCATAATATCCAGCTGGGCATTGCCACGTGCTGTCAATGCGAAAACTCTACATAAGACACTCACGATTCTAGGCTGTAATTAATGAGAGACGAGTAGGCCTGCTTCGCAAGCGTCACTTGACAGATCCCGGAACTAACACGCAAACTCTTTATCGCTCCCATGACACTGTACTCGTGCTATGCTGATGTTTGTTATCATGATTCTTAGAGTGTCCTCAGCTCTATCCTTTTTTTTTGGGGGGGGGGGGAGGTTATACTAAATAAATGTCGCAGAATAGGTCGTTTCTGTTAACGATGGGCTACCAACCATGATTGTGCAATGCTGCAACAGTGTGTTGAAAGAAAATGACAGGTAAAGCTGTTTGATATGTGGGATTTAACGCGTCAAAAACCACCATATGATTATGAAAGACACCGTAGCGGAGGGCTCCAAAAGTTTTGATTACCTTGGGTTCTTTCTAAAGTGCACCCAAATCTCAGCAGACAGGACCACATCATTTTCGCCTCCATCGAAAATGCAGCCGCCGGCATTGGATCCCATGAAATGTGGGTCAGCAGCCGAGTACGCTAGCAGCTAAAGCACCACGGTGGGGCCAGATGTAGCTGTTTTAACCTCCCCCTCTTCCCAAC